GCAACTCAACAATATTGGCAATATCATTTTAAAGTCGTCTACTTTAAAATGCATAATATATGTCTGAGTTGTCAATATAAATGAGTCAGATAAAATTAAATTATTAGAAGAATTTTTTCACTATGTAACAAAACAAAATTTGTTTAATTTACTGTTTGTATTTTGAGAAAGATTTCCGAATTGGAAATTGAAACGTCAATAAACGTATATTTATCTTTAATTGTGGCTTATTCCCAGTTATAAATAGTAATTTACTTTTACCCAAAGTTAGATTTTTAAAATAAAATTCGTTGGATGTTTCATTACTCCTTTTGTAAATATATTTTTAAATTGCGACATAATTACAATAATTAACCATTTATGGGGCATTAAAATATAATGATTTGGACATAAAATCAAGAACATTAAAATAACAATAAAATAAAAATTAATAGTTTATAAAATACATTTTATAAATTTCCTTAATAATGAAATTACTTATTTTTATTTGAAAAACAGTATTTTAACTTAGTTTTTTCTTCGTTTTGGTTTGTGAACGGAAGCATTTTTCCATTTACTGCAAAAAATGACATCTAAGAACTTCTATTACATTTTTGTAATTTTATAAGTTAATTATTATAAACATGAACCAAATATAAATAGTCACGTTTTTATAATATAATTTAATATTATAAATTTTGATATCTCATTTGTAAGCTACTATTCAGGCTGTTAAGCCTCGTAAAAATAGCTTTTTTTTTGGTTTATTATTAATCTATATCCGTGACAAATGTTAACTAATGTAAGCAGTACTTAGACTAATTTTTTAATTATTCATTCCCACCTGTTTTCGAAATGGTTAATAGATTCATGATTCATATGTATATACTTAGTTCTAGAATAATTAAAAGATACACAAATTCGAGTAATGAATATTTAAATGGTACCACAAACTAAACTTACAGCAAAACATTATGAGTAACGAAAGTGATTCTTACTTTATATTTTATTTTACCAAGAAACTAATGCTTGCGAACACTGAAATGAAAATTCTATCTTTTTAATTAATATGGAGCAATATCTTCTTATCTACTACTTCTTATGTTACTCCTTGTCTCCTATTCCTTTTCGAAAACTTTTATGAGAGTTTTCCGAATAATCGAGCATTTTATATAAATACATTTTAAATAATATTGAATTAAACTCTTTATTGAACTAACTCTTCTTTAAATGAACACTAGACACTCTAGGTTTGTAAACATTAAAACATTTGCTTTAAAAGCTTTCTTCGCTGTTGCAATTTTTGCTCCAATTATCTTTTGTTTTTATAATTAAAATTGCATCTGAAGTTTGCATAATTCCAAACTACTTTTTAGTTATCTGACTTTCCCCACTCATTAGTTTTTTTCTCTTCCTTCTTTTCATGACAATATTAAGTAGTCTTATGGTCCTGTAGTTTGCATATTGTTCAACGTTTCCTTTGTTTTCGTACATAAATACTAACATACTGTTGTTCCATTCATCTGTTTAAAAACCTGCTAGCGAAGTTGTTTCTGACTCTGCTAATACTGCCCATAGTTCTCTCCAGAGATATCGGCTGATCCAAATTCTTCACCCTTCTGTATTTTTTTGTAGGACTTGAGCAACTAGGTAACCATTGTCTTCGCTATTTCAAATAGTTTTGCTTTAAATTATTCGTTCCGCTTTAGCTTTTATACGCCTTACTTTCGCTACCTTTTAACGTCACGTCACGCTGTGCTGATTTTCACCTGCAGATTGTTTAAAAAACTGTGCAAGGAAGTTTGTTTCTTCCTCCCTTTTAGGGTAGGTATTGCGAAAATGAGGCAAATTGGTTGAACAACTCCGATGCACGAAAGGTTGCAACTTTTCGGGATGATTTTTATCCGCGCACTGTACAACATTTTTCCACATTTTTAAGATCTCGTTTATATCTCTTGTCAAAATAACCTCCTCCATCTCTGGCTCCTCTTCAAAACCATTTTTTCGTTGAACCATCGTATGCTGCTGCGAATGAATGGAGATCCTGTATTTTCCCAGAAAAACATTCTCTACCACCAACACTTCGGGTTTACTTTCAGCTACAGCCTCAGGTCACAGCTTCTTTCATGCAGAGGTTAAGGTCCTCGTTGTAACAGGCCTGATCAATCATTCTTAGGCATATCACGATGTTAAGATAGTCCTTCCAGAACTCTCGAAGAGTAAGGTTTGTGTTTTCTGACACCTCAAAGCAGCACCGAAAAATGTGCTTGGTGTACAACTTCTTAAAATTATAAATCCTTGTTGATCAATGGGCTGCAGGATAGGAGTGGTAGGTAGAGAAGTTGAGGCATTGTTGAGGATGAGAATAAGATAGTTATTTTCAAACAGAAGGCGCCTGCGATTTTCCGAATGGTATACTAGCAGAGGCTTGATTTTGCGATCACGAATCGCATTGGCGTAAAGTGCCAGAGTTAATCTATCTTTCATGGATTTGTGACCTGGTATGTTTTCTGCTCTGCCGTCATGTAAGTCCTATTCGGCATCCTTTTTCAGAAAAGCCCTGTCTCGCCACAGTTGAAGAGTTGCTGGGGGATGTATCATTCGGCTTCTGCCAGTTCGGAAAATGTTTTGATGTAAACCTTAGCTGCCTTCACATCCGAACTAGCTGCCTCACCATGCCTACTATGGAGTGAATGCTGGTCCTTTTCCTAAAGTTGTCAAAGCAGCCCCGATTGGCTTTAAACAAGTCTTTCGATTCTTCGTTTGTGGAAGTGTGTGGGATCTGCTTCAGCTGATCACCGTAAATCGCTCGTGCCTTCTCACATATGTATATGATGATTTGTGTTAAGTTTCCTTCTTGGAGCTGCTTCTCTGTCACCCACACCATCAGCAGTTTCTCCATTTTTTATGGAGAGATGGAACCTATAAATTATTGTAATACCCTTAGCTGGCGTTATAGCCTTTATCAACTCCTTCTGTTTAAGCACAGTACATATCACTGATGACTCGCCAAATCAATTACTCACACACCTTGCTCATGTTTTGATTCATTTCACGCTTAAATTCAATAGATATCATCTTTTTGGTACCCATGGCTATAAAACTAAATGTGATAATGTTTTGTAAATGTACAAAAAGCAAAATAATGCTAAAATTTGAAATGCTTGTGGTCCAGATGATACACCAACTAAGTTGCTGAAACTAATAGAGGATGATAACATAAAAGTAGTAGTAAGACTTTTTAATTCAATATATAACACCGGAGTGATTCTCACAGATTGGTTCAAATCCATCTTTGTCGCAATACCTAAAAAACACAATGCGAGAAAATGCTCAGGATATCGATTAATTAGCCTAATGAGCCACTCTCTTAAAATTTTCCTAAGAATACTTCACAACAGAATTAGACACAAATGCGAAGAAGATCTCAAACATACCCAATTTGGTTTTAGAAATGCTATGGGAAACAGGGACATGATTTTGCGCTTAACATCCTATTACAAAAATGCCGTGACCAAAGAAAAAATGTATTTGCATGTTTCGTGGACTTCGAAAAGGCATACGATAAAGTACAGCATGTAAAATTAATGCAAATACTGAAAAATATCAAAATAGAAGACACGGATATTCGTGCCATTAAAAATGTGTACTGGAATCAAACTGCTATCCTAACAATTGGAGATAACTACACCGATGAAATCTAAATACAACGAGGAGTCAGACAAGGTTACAGTTTGTCGTCAACATTGTTCAATGTTTACTCAGACCAGTTATTTAAAAAAGGCACTTGAGAGACAACTATATGGAATAAAAATCAACGGGGGAACTACTTAATGTAATTAGATATGCAGACGATACAGTAATTCTGTCAGATAATATTGAAGGTCTTTAAATTCTGCTTGATCGTATTCACGATGTAGTAGAGGAAATGGACATTAAAATAAACCAAATATTTAGTATTTAGTCGTGACCCACATCCCGATGCAAAGGTTCAATTAACGGAGTCCAAGTTGAGAAAGTTCACAAAATGACATATTTGGGAACTGCGATAACGGACCAACTAGATCCAGATATATAAATAAAACGTAGACTAGCAATGACTAAAACTACTTTTATGAAAATGAAGTCATTTCTTTGCAATAATCATCTCAGTTTAGAACTAAGGCAAAGAATGGTTAAGTGCTATGTTTTGGTCCGTACTTTTGTATAGTGCAGAAGTGTGGACGCTAAAGTATCGATCATGAACAAAATTGAAGCATTGGAAATGTGGGTTCATAGACGAATGTTGGAGATACCTTGTACAGCAAGGAAAACTAATGAAGAAGTACTAAGGAGTGCCAACAAAGATAGAGACTGCTAAAGACTGCTGTTAAACATCGAAAAATGTCTTATCTGGGACATACAGTAAGGGGAAGTTGATATAAAATATTACAACTGATCCTTAAAGGCAAAATAGAGGGCGGTAGATGTGTAGGAAGAAACCAAGTTTCTTGAATGGACTCAGATATCAAATGCAGGAAAATTATTCCATATTTGAGAAGATCGAGAAGCCTTCGCAATGCTGATCGCCAACGTCGGAAAATTCTGATATGGCACGCGAAGAAGAAGACAAAAAGCAAAAAACGCGAACCCAACTTATCAAAAATGAGGGAAACAAGCACATAGACTGAGGTCTAGTCTGAGGCATTAGAAACTGTTAGACGCTGCCAAACCCATGCGGAACGCATGTTGGTTCATGTGCAGCGGTGTAGTGTATCTTACTCAAATCTTGCTCTTATCTCAAAGGAAAATATCGCTCGCTCGGCGGCTCGTATCTCAAAACACTCATATATTAGGTCACTATACAAATATTATGTTTATATTTTTGCTCTTGATGTATTTGTTCTGCGATGGATTTGTTTCACTTATTTGTTATTTTGAACCCCCAGGAATTACTATGTTATAATTAATTTTATAATATTTAGTTTTAATTCAGTATCGTCCAATAGCAAATTTTAATATATTTTTTTTCTATTTTTCAGTAATTGGTACAAAATACCAAGAAGTGTCCTAAGGCTGTGTTTTATTCTCGTAAACAATTTGTATTGTATACCTACGTATGTAATGTGGATGATCCTTTTGTTACCACTTAGAAAAGTTAATCCAGATATTTATTATAAAATAGAGGGCCAGTTTTTCCATTGGCTTCTCTCCGTGGTAACGCTGTGGAGTAATAGTGCGGGATATGACAGTAAGTTCACAATTTCTTCAAATTGATGATATCTATAACACTTATTGCAGATTCAAGTTTGATTTGGTAGTCTTAAATGTTGTCTCTTATCTCAACATTTCACATTTAAATAGTAAATGGTGTATTATATTTTGGATATTTACTAATATAGACATATTTTTCATTACTCAAAAATCGATCATGCATGCAGGGTTGGGATAAAGTACAGAATCAAGTAAATATCTTGCAACCGAAAAATACGATATTCATGAAACTTTGCCTGCAATAACGCTTCTGATGTCTTATTTTTTTGGTATTACTCTATTTTCGGTTTCACCAGAAATACCCACAACTTAATTATTTAAGTTAGACATCTTGTATATTTTGGAAGATTTTAAAAAAATTGTCATTCCTTATGCATACGTACCAAGTTTGGTACAAAAATGTGCTAAAACGAGAAATAAATCACTTTCCATTTAAAAAATTCCTCTTATTATTACACCGTCTTCTTTCGAAGGTTGGCGATCCAAATGGCAATTGTAGCTTTGGAACCTGCTGCGCGAAATAGTTCTGCGGATGAGCAGTCAAACCATCTCCTCAGGTCTTTTAGCTACGAGTTCTGTTTTTTTTTCTCCCTGTGCCCGTCTGATCAAAAAGATCTTCGTTATCATTGAAGCTAAAGCTTATTGTGTTTGCTATCCGTTGTAGTTTTCTACACCCAGGCTAGAATTTTTATACCCTGTAGAAGTTTGTACAGGCCTTTCGCTTGGTATGCCCTGAATGTACCAGTCTCCTCTTAATTGTCCATACAGTTTTTGTTTTTACGCTTGAAAAACGACGCAGTTCCTCCCAAAAACAAAGCTTTCGCTAATTATTTGATTATTGGAGTATATTCCTTCCCTTTACTTTATCTTCCAATAGAATGAAGAGTAATTCATATCTTTCACCTCTCAACACATGATCCAATTATTGTATTTTCCTCTTTTTGGCTATGCTTAGTAATTCTTTTTGTCTTTTCATGCGCCTAATCACCTCACTGTTGGTACTTTTTTGTACCCACGGAATTCTCAGCATCCGTTTGTATATATACATCTCAAAGGCATCTATTCTATTTTCTATTTCAGAGTTCATTGTCCAATTTTCGCAGCCATTAGCAAAACAGAAAACTTAACATCTGATCATTCGGATTCTGAGCTGTAGACTAAGATCAAAAATGTTTTTATGTTCATGAGTTACATGAGTAAAGTTAAAGAATAGTTAAATTTATTTACCAAGACCAATTCTTCTTCTTTCTTGGCTCTACAGCTCGAAGTGAGTTTTTACCGCGTTTACCATTTTCCTCCACTCTTGCCAGTCTTGTACAGCAATCTCACATTATTGTACCGCCATCTTACATAGATCACTCGTTACTGCAACGTTCCGTCTTTTTCTTGGGCGACCAAGTGATATTCTGCTATGAGCCCTCTCCCAGAAGGTTGTATTTAGTAGTCTTTCATCACTCGATCTCAGTACATGTCAGTACTGTCTCAGTATCATATCCGATTTGCCTTAATGTATCGTACTACAAAAAGACATCTCAATCTTAAACGAAGGATCAGGAGGCCACAATAGAGGAGGCTTCTACTCATAGAAATAGGCACATGGAAAGAAGATAACAAAACAACAAGGAACAGGAAGAAAACAAAGAAGAATATGCAATTTACATGGGAAGGCTTAGAAACATTAACCAGGAAATAAAAGAAATAATTGAAGAACAAGAAATGTGGAAGATAAAAATAGGGCAATATAAGTCAAACAGGCACTATATCCAACCTAAAAGTGCAAGAATTATTTAGGAACCAAAGAACTTTAAGAAACCATAGAAAACCCATTGTCCCACTACAAGGAGAAAACGTAATCGTCTACTCTCTAGAAGAGAAAGAGAAATAAGTGAGCTGATCAGAAAAAGTTCACCAAACACCTGGTTCAGAGGAAATTATTAACAGAGCTCTGAAGTATCTTCTTCGAAAGCAATTGTATATCTGAGAAACATAATAAACGCAATAGCAAACAGATGGAAGGAAGCCCATGTAATCACGATACCAAAGCCAGGAAAGAACCATATATTTCCGCAAAATTACATGCCGATTAGCTTACTTCCAGCAGTCAGTTAGATAATAGAGCGAGTCATTCAAACCAGACACCAATCAGAGACAGACAGGCTAGGGTTAATCCCAAAAGCACAATTTGGATTCAGAGCTCAACATTCCAGCGAACTACAAGTACTCAGACTTACAGAAAATATAGCAGTTGGATTGAGGAGCAATATACAGAAGCAGCCTTCCTAGATGTAAGCAAAACCTTAGACAGAGTGTAGCATAAAGGACTGACCTAAAAAATGAGAGGTTATGGGTACAGCAGGGCCATAATACAAGTCATCTAGTCGTACATAAGCCATCAAGATCTAAAATGCATACCACATGTTAAGCCGACAGTCCAGAAAACAGCAATGGCCAGAGCGGCACATCTTCTTACTCATAGTAAGAAGAAGCAAATTAGCTATAAAAACAAAATTAAGACGACTGGACAGCATCATACTACCAATAATTACATATGCATTTATTGCATGGGGACACACAAGTCCCAGCAAAAAAAAAGAAGATTCCAGCAGCATACAACAGCTGCCTTAGAGAAGCTGCAGACGTGCCCAGATACTTCGCTGAACGTTGAAGGGTACTGAATATGATGGAGGAAAAAACAGAACAAAATTCGCTGAGTTAGAAGACCACCCAAACCGGATCCTGCGAAAGATATTAAAGGTATCATTTGTATCATAGATCACAGAAGTATCATTTGTATAGAGCACAGAAGACCTAAACAGCAAACAGTCTAGATAATTGTAGCTCTATCAAAAGAAGACAACTTGCTCACCTTTGGCACGGCAGTATATTTATTACTGTTGATTATATATATATATATATATATATATATATATATATATATATATATTATATATATATATATATATATATATATATATATATATATATATATAGATATACAGACAGCCTAAAAAATCTACAAAAAAACACAAAATACGGTTTAGGCCACCAAAAACATTAATAAAATAGTAACAAAAGGCGCAAGCCACAAAAAAAATTAATAAAACCCAAAAAACGGGCAAGAGGGGCCCACATCCTTGACTGCCGAGTCACCGAACTGGGCGTAGCCCAGAGCGGGAACTCGCAAGCAATACAGATCAATGATAAGTCACTAGAGATAGCGGGAAAAGAGTGCCTTACGCTGGCCTGCACTGTTCGGGATAGGATTTCGTGTGGGAGGTCTTATACCCAGGACTCCCACACGACAAGCACTTTGCTGATAAGAGAACCTCTATAGGGCATCAGATCGCTATCGGAGGAAGTGGATGGTCTGGAGCATTGGGGCGGGGTGGAGTGATCCCAGTTACACGAGTTAATCCTACCCGCTCCAATCAATTGTATCACCCTATTGCCATAGTTAAGAGGTGTGTAAGTTTATCAGGCTGGGTTAAACCATTGCTTGCTTCATCATCATCATCATTATGCAACCTCTTCTGTCCACTGCTGGACATAGGTCTCTCCAATTTTTCGCCAGTCTTCACGGTCCTGTGCTTCTTGTTGCCATTTCTTGGATATTCGTCTAATGTCGTCCATCCAGCGTGTGGGTGGTCGTCCTGTGCTGCGTTGGTCTTCTCGTGGGCGCCAGTCAATTAGTTTTCTGGTCCATCTTGTGTCTTTCAGTCTCGCTATGTGCCCTGCCCAATTCCATTTCAGCTTGGCTATACGTTCGACGACATCACTGATACCTGTTATTTTCCTTAAGTTCTTGCTTCATCATCATCATCAATCAGCCAATCGCGTCCACTGCTGGACATAGGCCTCCCTCAGTTCTTTCCAGTGTTCTCTACACTGGCCGCTTGTAGCCAGTTTCCCGCTACACGTTTAATGTCATCGGTCCATCTAGTCGGTGGTCGTCCTCGGCTTCTTTTATAATTTCTGGGCCTCCATTCCAGAATACGTCTTGTCCACCGTCCATCTTGTGTTCTGGCTAAGTGCCCTGCCCAGTTCCACTTAAGCGTCGTGGTTCTTTCGATGACGTCTTGAACTCCTGATCTTCGCCTGATTTGTTGGTTTGTTATGTGGTCTCGAAGGCTCACGTTCAGCATTGCACGTTCCATGGCTCGTTGTGTAACTCATAAGTTTATTCGCAGATTTTTGCGTGAGTGTTAAAGTCTCTGCTCCATAAGTTTGTACAGGTAAAACACATTGGTTATAAACCTTTCGCTTGAGACACATGGGAATTGAGCTTTTTAGAATTTAGAATAGCAAGTCCTTGCTTGCTTGATTAAAAAGAATTCTGAGCAGAAAACGATCATATCCTGACTAATTGTACTTTTATGAATATAGTATTTTTCGTTTCAAAGATATTTACTTGGTTCGATACTTTATCTCAAATGTGTCTACAAGAATACCCACAGAAGAAAAGAAAATTTTAAATATACTAAAATGATGTATAATGTACTATACAATCATATAAAAATTCGTTAGCATTTTACTACTTAACATTTCATAAAACAATTTTTTCCTTGGGATCCCTGTTGTTGCCTTTTTTCTTATCAGTAGTAGCGTGACGTTATACCTAATTCTCTAGCAATTTATTTTCTACATGCATTAAGAAAAAGCACAAAATTAATTAGGCGAACACTGTTTTGCGTCTGTATTTACATAAATAAAATGTTAACCTTACTTATCATAGAAATTAAAATAAAAATCTAAAATAATTACAATGAGTAATCTATCGATATTACTAAAGGTTATCTTTGTATTATGTGCTTTGCAATTCAAAGCTCATTTACAAAATTACTTTATAAATATATATTTTGTGCTCATTTCATAGAATTTAGATAATTTATTGTTTGGTATATTTATTGGTTTCGATCGTGTGGTCAGTGCACAGATTTTATAAATATGATGTTTCTCGTTATATACACAGGGTAACAT